ATAGTAGCGTCCTTGCTCCTAGTAGTAAGGCCAGGAGCCCCTACGTAGTAGCGTCCTTGCTCCTAGTAGTAAGGCTAGGAGCCCCTACGTAGTAGCGTCCTTGCTCCTAGTAGCAAGGCCAGGAGCCCCTACGTAGTAGCGTACTTGCTCCTAGTAGTAGTAAGGCCAGGAGCTCCTACATAGTAGCGTACTTGCTCCTAGTAGTAGTCCTTGCTCCTAGTAGTAAGGCCAGGAGCCCCTACGTGGTAGCGTACTTGCTCCTAGTAGTAAGGCCAGGAGCCCCTACGTGGTAGCGTCCTTGCTCCTAGTAGTAAGGCCAGGAGCCCCTACGTGGTAGTCTCCTTGCTCCTAGTAGTAAGGCCAGGAGCCCCTACGTAGTAGTGTCCTTGCTCCTGGTAGTAAGGCCAGGAGCCCCTACCTAGTAGCGTCCTTGCTCCTAGTAGTAAGGCCAGGAGCCCCTACATAGTAGCGTCCTTGCTCCTAGTAGTAAGGCCAGGAGCCCTTACGTAGTAGCGTCCTTGCTCCCAGTAGTAAGGCCAGGAGCCCCTACGTAGTAGCGTCCTTGCTCCTAGTAGTAAGGCCAGGAGCCCCTACGTAGTAGCGTCCTTGCTCCTAGTAGTAAGGCCAGGAGCCCCTACGTAGTAGCGTCCTTGCTCCTAGTAGTAAGGCCAGGAGCCCCTACGTAGTAGCGTACTTGCTCCTAGTAGTAAGGCCAGGAGCCCCTACGTAGTAGCGTACTTGTCTCTAGGAAATGCGGTTTGAAGTTTTCTTGTTTTTCCGTTCTTTAGTGACTCAAGGGTCGCACATGGTGCAGGAGTCCGAGCGTCGAAGCCGACGCCGACCAAGCGAGGAGGAGATGGCAGCGTTTCATCGAGGGATGGCCTACACAGCTTGGCAGCGTGAATAGATGTGAATAGATGCGAATAGTGACTGGTGGGCTTGTGAATACTAATGAATAATGACTAATGAATACTAACGATAGAATCGCAGTCTGGATGCCAAGCTGTGTAGGCATGGGGCTTTGAGAGCACTTTGCTGTGGGAGATGCTTACGTTTCGGGAAAATTCATGATACTTCAAGTGGGCAGAATAACCGTGCTTGCATTCACAATCGCATTAGAAGCAGTTATTGACCAGGTGGAGAGCCGAGAGAAAGAAGCGGTGTGAAAGGATGCAGGAATTGTAGCTCTGAACGAGCATCCCCAAGGTGTTGGCCCCCTGTGCGTCCGACAATGGGCATGCGTCCAAGCCCAGTCACGTCCGGTCACCTCTTTTTGAACAGGTGAATGAGGTCTCGTTGATTTCCGCTGCCTGCTCCCCCGCAATGTGTGGGGGTTATGTACGGTGGACAACTAGATCCAAACCCTAAAATTGTCTCCCTCGGCAGGCAACTCCATCGACGCAGTTGCCACCTGAAGTTGCAGAGGAGCTACAGGTCGGGCAGCCTCTCAGAGCACAACTTCCACAGAGAGCACCTCAGAATTATATAGCTCTAGAGTCCCGCCACGGGTGCTAAAAATGATTGAACATGTTAATCAACTCCACACAGGATTCAAGGTGCATAAAGTCAGAATGATCATACAAACAAGCAACCCAACAAATCGAAGAGTGTGTTTGCCGAAACTCCGATATGCACATTGAAGGCAAGGTGCTAGTACGGTAGAATTTTTGCACGACAGTGTCATTTTCCAGGACCATGTTGTTCCTTATGACATATAATGTGTAATTGCAGAGCCAAGTGGCTGACTATTACTGTAGTTGGAAGTGTTTGCGGGCTCAATGGTGTTTGCATTGTTACTATTGCTACTTGGCCTAGAACATTGGTTTTGGATGCTTGGGTTGGATTGCTTAAGCAAGCGCAAGGAATCACGTGGGAAGTGCAAGCCCTCCATTTTCCCAGTTTGTGTGAGGCGGAACTGGACGAATGTTTGGACACCATCAAGCGTGAAACTGAGACTAGCTGAAATTCAGCACTTGGTTTGAACTTAATAATGTTCTGCTTGAGTGGGTCAAAAGCTCCACGTTCGACACGTGTGGTGTGATATCTTTGGTGCAACATGTGCAACAGCTTTCATAAGGAGTGTGATCCAGGCTCATCCTGCAGAGGGCGTGGACCAAAATATGCTTCGCATTTACTGCTGAGCTCAAACAGAACCTCGTGTAATTACTTTGCTTGCTTTGCTTCCTCAAAGCTGCTGTTGGACCTAACTCAAATGCCTCATCCTGTTGCGCTCGCTGAAGACTCTGTTTGTGGCCGTGGCAGTGGCACCTCTTTCAGGCGTGCATTTAGTCAACCGCCAAACCAACCCCCATTTGCAGGTAAAGCTGGGCCACCAGAAACAGGCGCGGCGGTGAAGCCCCTTGAGGCAACAGCAAAGCAACCGTTTGGCAAGCCTTGCGCCACGTTGTGCCTGCAATGAAACACAGGAAAAGACCTTTAGACTAGTGCAAAAGAACATCAACTCCTGCGGCAGAAAGGCCATTCCTCACCTTCTCACTGCGAAACTCTGGTCGCCAGAGGCCGCTTTTCCTCCGTACACTCCGGCTGCCGACGGTCACTATGTAAACCTCTGAAATTGAGCTTCCACAATTTCTCAAAGCTTTCAGTTTGCCGAAGCTCCAGAGCTCCCATCTTTGAAAAGAAACAGACAACGAATCGCTACAGGCCCAGTCGCCACATCGCCTGTAAATTGGCATCACCTGTTAATTGGCGCGGCGTCACCTTGAACACAAGTTGGAGCATTCAAATGTGGCAAGCGCGGAAGAAATGGCTAGGGTCCTGTGCTCAGAATAGATGAATAGATAGCTTCGCACTTGGGTTTTCCTTGACTGTCCTAGGGAATTGCTTGAAGCGGTTCTCCAGGGAAGTCGCAAGCCGCTCGCCGAGTGCGAATCGCCGTGGGCCACGAGAATAAAAACCTTCAATATCCGGTAGAGGTCATTCCTGATGAAATTCTGATTATCTACTTGGCTTGGCAGCGCTGCAAGCTTTTGGTATGCTACCTCCACTGTGGCACTGGGGCTCCGAGTAGATCCCAACACTACATCAAGCTATCTCGAGTCCTTAACTCAAACACCAAAGAATGAACAACATGTCAAGCGACACTATTCTTGCGGAACTGATTGAATGAGGTCAAAGCGCAGCGCAAAACTCAATAGTAGACGCGTTTTGGTCCACAATGAGTCCATAGGCATCATGCTGAGTGAACAACTATTTAACAAGCAAGGCCCCACGGCCAAGCATTGCACCTTGAGTTATTTTAGGCATGGGTTTGGACTCAAACTTGTTTGTGAGGTCAAACAACATTGTCGGAGTCGTGTGTCATTTGTGTAGCACAAACTTACACAATATCTTGCACTAGATTGACATGCTGACCCTTTGCTGCTGATTCCTTTGTGACTGAGATGGTGTGCCTCGTCCGTCACCCGTGATAGCCTACAGGCCACAATTTGACACATTGAACATGGTTTGTCGGAGTTGCTCTGAGTGTGAAGAATGCCAAGCAAGCCATGTTTCAGTTGTTTGTCCAGGACGTGAAGAACACGAACAGGCCTGCACCGGTGGTGAAGGACGTCCTGGAGGCTTTGATGCGAGCACCTTGCAGTTTCATGCGCTGGACTTTCACATGCTTCCTTTTTGAAACCGTGCCTCCTGCATTCAAGCCAGCTAGTTTGCTTCATGTTGTTTCCCTATTCATGGACGATTACAGGCTGCGAATTCCCTTTGTGTGACGCCGCCCTTTCCGCCAGGCAGTGTCAATACTTCTTGCTCAATCCGAAAACAGGCAGGGCTGATGATGCTGTATTTTCTGGTGCATAAGTTTTGCCTAGGGACACCAGGCAATACATAGAGGTGAACAAACATGTTTTTCTCCATATATAGAATTCCTATAAACATGTTGATTGGTTGGTTGGTTGGCCTTTGACACCCTGCGTCCGCTTGCATCCGCGGTCAGCTGACCTCTTAGGTGGGACCGGCTCAAGCAGATGATCAGCAAACCCCAATTCTTTGACAAGCTTCAACGGCCAGGGAACCTTAGCCGTCAATACACTACGTGAAACCGAAAGAGTTCTTCAAAGGCAGCTCATGACCAATTTGAATTCAGTCACATTGATGCATTAGGAGAGCACAGACTAAAGCCCAAGCTGTTGAGGCTGGACTTCCAGCGGAGTGTCTCCAAGGAGCAATTCAAGAAGCTGGCGGGGCACTGATGACAGAGAGAGAGAGAGGTAACTTCGCATGGTCCAATTGTATATGTCAAATTGGTCACATTTCAGATTCTGTTCATGAAATTGTTTGTGTATTTTGCCTGCCTATTTTTTTTCTTAGGCGTCACTTGCGACTTGAATCCTTTTGCGGTTGAAAGCAGCTTCGTTCCATCCACAAACCCAATAGCATCTCCTGTGAAAAATAACGCTTCAAACATGTTTTGTGAATCTAGGACATGAGGGGATGTGCTCGTCTGACATGCGTTGCATATTCTCAATTGCTTTGCCTCGATCGCAGCGCGACAAATTGGCCCATCCGCACTTTGACGAAGAGCTCATCAAAACCGCCTGGAACTTGGGAGCGGATGAGACATGAGACTGACCCCAGTGGCCGAGAAAACTAGTAGAATCTCTGAGCCTGTTCCTTCCTCGTTTGCTTTTTCTTTTCTCATGAAAGGAGGACGACAAGTGTTAGCCTGATCAGAATTGTGGAGGCTTCTAAATTGCGAAATCCTACATGTTGCGGGTACAGCAGCAGGTTGCTTTGCAATATATTTATTTAGAGTGGTTCGCACTATATGAAGGTCAGTGTGCCAATGGTGCCGTTGGCGATGTGGTACTTGGCCCAAGAACGTAGCCTCCAACCAGGAGCTGTTACACTTGCGTTCAGAACTATATAAACCAATTGAAATGTCATATCAGCAGCAGGTACACCGAACAGACAGAGACCGCATTCTTTTTCTTGCCCTGTACTGTACATTGAAAGACACCTCGGAAAAACCTGAACAATTCTGGACAATTATGCAAGCCTTGAGTTCTCTACTTGGTTTTCATGAATGTGATGCATGTGATGTCTAATCTTGCGGTCAAGGTGTCGAGCCATTGGAGTGTACTTGTCCAAGACGAAGTGCCTTGAAGCAATCACGCGGTAGAGGAGCCGAGAAGTATATGTATTGTAAAGCTGTACATTCATTTAGGCGCTCAAAGATTGTGTTTGTGCATACATATGTAGCTTAATAAGTGCTTAAAAGCTGTACGCTAGTTTGTCTTCAGTTTCACTCTGCTTTCAGGGGGTGAGGTGTGAGACCGCTGAGATTTGAGGTATCGGGGTGGTCCGGAAATTCGCCCTGTTGCTGGTGCTGGTGCTACTCCTCAGCCCCGATACCAAGGCACGCAAGAGGTGATGTGCGTGATCCATGCCGCCATAGCTCACAAAATGCAATTCAGCTCTCAAGAATCACAGGAAGAGTTGTTGTTGAACATGGAGAGGAAGCATTCTTCAGAACTTAAGGAGGCACATGCCATGTTCATCCCTGCTGTCATGCGCCAAGTCACCAGAGAGCGCGATTGGTGGTAAAGTATATCTTAAAGTTTGGAGCACAAGGCTGTGCAGAATCTGCAGCACAAACATCCAACTGAATGCAAAGTTGACCACCCAGACTGTCAAGGCTGGCACAAATCGGACTGTCACAGCTGTAAGAAGGTGGCCGTGTAGCGTTGTCCGTTGCGCTTAATCACACGGGCACAACGTCAAATTTCTATAACGCCACTGCGGAGGGTTCGGAAGAAAGGACAAGCAGAAAAAGGGACGTACAAAGAGTGTAAGCTCAAGATACGGGCACCCCTTTGACGGGCGGCCATGAAGATTTCTAACATGTTCGTTGCTTTGTATGCTGACCTGATCCAGCGACACTTTCATGTGTTTGTGATAAGACATGTGTAAATCACCCGCACAGACCAGACCGGAAGATTGTGCACGGGTGCTTCATTTGATAGTCATTGATGGTGCAGGTTTGCACTGGAGGTTTTTCACTCTTACTCTGCTTCAGAGGCTTTCTTCCACTGGAGTCCCAGCACTTAAAACTTAGACCTGTCAATAGTCAAAATCTTATATTCGGTCTATCAGCGCAATCGACTGTCCGCCATCAATCAAAGGACACGTCATCGTAAATAACAGTCAGTCACAATCATAATCACAACAATGGCAAGTGTGAATTGCACTCCATGCATTCGGTCAGGGCCGTTCGAGTCAGACTTGCTCGCTCGCCTCAAGCAAGGTGGGTGGGCTTCACCGTTCGGCCGTGGTTGCGAAAAGGTCGACTTCGTGTGCGACTTCCGTTCGTCGAGTCGGAACCTCGTGCGTCCGCACTTCGTGCTACCATAGCATTTGCATGGTAGCGGAGCTCTGACCTAACCGGGTCATCTCCAGGCACCTTTTTCACTACAACCTCTCAACTCACAACACCACAGCAACAGCATCACACCTCACTACAAACCACAACAAACTGCTCCATCGGGTCGACAGACCCTAACGACATCGGGTCGACAGGCCCCAGCACCAGTGGATCGACAGATCCTGGCACCCAGGCCAACATGGCCACTGCCCAGGCATCAACGAGCCTGGATACAACCAGTTTGAGGGACAACTACATTCCCCAGTTCGATGGCCAACCTCAATCGTACGTTGAATGGAGAAAGCGCATCAACATCTACTACCTCAAGATGAAGCTCCAGAAACGAACTGGAGAATGCTGCCTCAACCTGATTGGCAGTCTGCAGGGAGCAGCTTGGAAAGTGGTGGAGGACTTCGACCTGAAGAATGTCGAAAAGGAGACAGCCTTTGACACCATCCTTGAGCTCCTTGACAAGGCATTCGCCTACGACAACAGGGTACAGATGCCTCAAGACTTCGAGAACTTCTTCACCCATGGAGTCAGGAAGCCAGGTACCACAATGCTCCAGTTTTGCACCGAGTTTGATGAGAAGTTCCGTAAGGTGCAAGCTCATGGTGTCAAGTTGCCGTCGCAGGTTCTTAGATGGTTCCTCCTCAAAAAGGCCAACGTCACCAAGGAGCAGCGCCAGATGATCCTCACTCAAGCTCCTGGTAACGCCAAAAGGTTCAGGAGGCGCTGTACCTGATCCTTGGACAAGATCACAAGGCCGCTGTCATCACTGACAAGCGACCGTTTGGCCGTGGAAAAGGGCAACGCGCCTACTATGTGGTTGATGAAAGTTGGAAGGATGCCTTCTACGAAGAGGAGCTTGACGACCAGTACGACTACGATCAAGTCCCCGTCGAATCCTGGCAGGAAGATGACTCAACCTTTGACCTCGATGCCGGCTACTTCCAGGCCGACGACCCTGAAGAAGAGGAAGGATTCGTTGCCGCCTCAGCTGATTGGGACGTTGATGAGTACGACTCAGCCTACGCCACCTACCTCGATGCTCGGAGACGTTTTGCTGATCTCAAGCTGAGTCGTGGCTATCTTCCCATTGTTGCCTTGCAGGGTGACAACGCATCGCAATCTACATCACCAACTCGCTCGCCATCAAAGGGCAAGGGACCTCGCAAGGGCAAGGGCGGCAAGAAAGGGAAATCGAACTCCAGCACAGTTCGCTATCCACCATGTCCCGGTGGAAAAGCTCCTGATCCTCGTGCTCGATCAACAGCAGCAATTCAGTGCCTTCGCTGCGGAGGATCTGGTCACATGGCTGCGAAATGTCCCAAACAGTCAAAGACTTCAGGTGGTACTTCATCGCCATCCTCTCCTTCGAAACGACAACACACAGAAGGGATGGCAGCTTCTTCAACTCCGATGGATGAAGCTGGACGCGTGATCTTTGAAGACCAACAGGGACGACAGCGAGTGGATGCCACCATGATCGATCCTGGAGCCTCAGCATACCTCATGGGTACAGGTCCTTTTCATCGCTATGTTGAGCACCTCAAAGGCCTCCAGTACGATACAGACAGCATGCAGCTCACTCGGATCTAGCGAGTTTTCCATTTTGGAGGAGATCATATAGACATGTCGCTGGCAAGCACGAGTCCCGGTGTTCTTCAATCACGCCTACGGATACATCACCGGATTTTTGATCCCTGGCGAAACAACAATGTTGATGGGCAGACCTGTCTTGGAGAATTTGGGTTTGACCATCAATTTCCAAAAGAAGCTGATGATGTGGGACAACGCACCTTGGTATATGTGTACATATAATTTAAAGGCAATGGCAGCAATTGTTCAAACAAAAGTGCATTCAATGTTCAAGTCATGCTGGCCTTTGGTCACGGTCGTCTTACCGTTCAATAAACGGAAGCACGAAGCGATTGTCGATATTGCACCGGTTGTTCACAAGCATCTTGTGCAGCAACTCTTCCTGCTTCCAAAGTTGTCCCTTGTTGTATGTATGGCATGGTTCCAAAACACACCCAATCACGCGCCCATTGGAACCAGCATCGTTGCCAAGTGCCCCAATTGCTGTGGCTTGGGCTTTCTGAGCAGCAGAGCTAACCAAGCTCGGAGAGCTCCAGCTGCAGACCGCCAGAACATAGATCTCCTCTTGCCGCAGTTGAAAGCTTGTCTGAATCTTGCCAAGTGCGGCCTTGACTCGCTGCAAAACCTCGTTGGCTGTGCCAAGGATCTCCAAAGATGCGATCCAATGCCCCGATGAAATATCAAACAAACTTTGGGCCTGCTTTTGGGCCTCAGACTGACGCTGCACCTTGTGCTGCAATGACGCGTGGTAGATTGCAGAATCTCTGTCGCGGCAACGGACCTTCCAGTTCTCAAAGGCTTTGATATCATGCCTTCAGGTTTGAGACGGTCTGAGTATACTCACACTTGTTGCGATGCCATGCAATCACCAAAAAGGCCAGCTGAAAAAGTTCAATTCTTAAACAATCCCAAGATACTCAAACATCTTCTTCATCAAGTCAAACTCCTCCCGCTCAAGCTCTCCAGCTGCCACCACACGTTTCTCCACAAAGAACTTGGCATCTGAAGTAGCGGAATGCTCTTTGAGAACTTCCTGGACTAGGCCCAAATCAGCAGGTTTCCACTTGGGGCTCTTTTCACTCAAAGCCACCTGAAGCTCTAGCTCCAAATTGCCATCGCATGCCAACAAAGCTTCTGTCACCCTGCTGGTGATCACCCCTCCCTCCTGCAACTCTGCCTCAACCGACACCACTAGCTGGGCAAGTTGGCATAGCTCTGAAATCCTCTCTTTGCTGAGCTTGCCACGGGTTTGAACCAACTTCTGGTGATGACTGGCATCTGTGTAGCGCAAGAAGAGCAAGAAACCTGCCTCAGTCATCGTGAGGCGGGAACGCCATTGCTTGTCCAGGATGGATCTGGGCGTATAGCCCGGGAATAGATTTTTGGCTGCAAAGCACTCCTCACTGAACGCTGATGAAGATCCAAAGAAGCTGGAGTGTGCCAGCAGGAGTTCCTTTGTCCCTGCTGGTGCTTGCAGCAAGGCCAGCAAAGCTACTCTCTTCTGTCCTGTCAACTGACTTTCACGCGTTGCCTCACTATTCCATGATTTGATGGCGCTGTCAGCCTTCATTCCCCACTCACAAAGCATGCTAATCTTTGCAAGCCAGCATGCCACATCATGAGACTTTCTGATGGCCCCCCTGCTACTGAGTTTTGCATTGGTGAAGGCAACTCTCATCAAGTCATGTGACATGGAACCACGGCGGCAACGGATGGATGCCAGGCTGTCATAGAGCTCACGGTGCAGGATATGCAGTTTGATGCCTTAATCTTGACATTGCTTCAACAAAAACACTGTGTATATTATGTTAGTATATTTAGGTTATTTCATATGTATGACATAAGTCAAAAAAATGCACAGGAATAAACTCGCAACCCAGTTACGAAAACTCACAACAAGCAAGGCCGTGAACACTGCCATTGTACCTCTTGCAGCCCCTTTCAAGTAGTGCGCCCAAGCAAAGTCCCGCCTGCATTCAGGTCCATTCCACAAGAGAAGTGGATCACCTCAAATCTGCATGTTGAAGTTCAAAAAAACCATGGCAGCTTAGGGTTAAACCATCTTAAACCAACATTGTGCCCCTTCAAATCCACAATTCAAGTGAGGCACCTTTTGTAATGAAACCATTCATTGTGATCTCATCCCAGAGCTGCAGGCAAGTGTGAAGGTATGGGGCTGGCTTCGTTGAAGAATCTGCAAACCAGCTCAGATCCGACAAATGTAAGTTGAATTCATCTGAATCATTTCCAGGAAGCTCTGTCGCATAGCAAATGGCATCACTCTTTGGAAACATGCTGTGCAATTCACTCACAAATTCAGCCGCCCTGCCCATCGGCAGGATCTCCTCCAGGAAGTTGCGGGCGCCATTCCATTTGGTCAAGACAAATTTGCC